ACCAACCCACCAACTGTCATCTATATATTTCTTTTCCTGTCCAGGGTCCTACAAAGTGGTGATTTTGACTGGTTTTTACGATGCAAATGGATGGATTGAAGTACGAGTACTCGGTGATAAAGGAGCAACAGCTTCTCATRCCTTTGTTCCGCCAGGAAACGTTTTTAAGAAAGTTAGGTATGTTACTTTAAAATATCAAGATTTGGACGATCGTACATAAGTAATTATTGTATAAAAACGAACTCTGTTAAACTTTTCAAAGTCAACGAAAGATAATTAGATCACAAAATAGAAAATAGCACTATCCTAGGAAACAAAAGTAAGAATGCAACTTATTTCCACGCTTCCAAACACCGTTGATATTGTTGTTGTTGTTGTTGTTGTTTTTTTTCCAGTAAATACCGCACTTCCATATCGAACGCGGTTGATGTTGGCAAATTGACCGGCGTATCAATGTATTTTCATTCTACTGGGTCGTCATATTCAATTGATATAAATAAGGTGAATAATTAGTAGATCATTGACCGTGCACTCAGCTCTCACGGCCTCTGCTTTATATTATTTCTTGGCCTCGAAATCACATGTGGGTAGAGTTTAGAAGGGTTTGTGAGGTATTTCACTCGATTCGAGGTTGGTTCTCCGGTTTTCCTATCCGCAAAACCGAACAAGCTAAATTCCAAATTGGATCTTTTAGTTAGCCATGCCCCGACTTTGATCAGCCCAGAGGTTGTATCAGGGTTCGATCTGTGAGTTAGCCATGCCCTGACTTTGGTCAGCCAGAGGTTGTTTCAGGGTTCAATCCGCGTGAGTTAGCCATGCCCTGACTTTGGTCAGCACAGAGGTTGTTTCAGGGTTCGATCTGTGAGTTAGCCATGCCCCGACTTTGATCAGCCCAGAGGTTGCTTCAGGGTATCGATAACATTCAAAGGTTCTTTTTATATAACTCGATCTTTGTGTGATAGAAGACCACCTCCTTCTGATTCAATCGTTTTTCTATTGAAGGTCGTGGTCTTCTCCAATGGCCTCTTGTCCTCGTTTTTGAACTACTACAATAACATCCCTYCTGGCAAATGGATTCTCATCGGAGGCAAGTGCAACGCCAGCTTTTATAGTGAACAGTATATAAATGTTGACTTTACGTACGATAGGAAACCGATACATTAATATATTATATTATTTGATTTAATTTGATTTTAGGGAAATGTCCTTTGGGGTTCGAATTAGGACCAGATGGAAATTGCGTAGGTAAGGAAAAGATGAACTGAATGACTAGTATCTGGAAATGGTAGGTCTGCTGATA